GGGAAACACCTGCCTTGTGCCTGTTGACAAGATTCCTGTCAAATTAGCCAAGGTCCGCCTTTGTCCTGGAGCAACCCAAGCCAAGATTAGCACACTTTGTGACAGCGGTTCTGGTCAATGGCCAGTTTGCCGACTGCCTGTGCTGCATGGGTAGCCCTGACACTGGACCCAGCATTCTGTTAAATTGGGGGACAACAACCCTGCCTTGTGAATGCCTCCTCATCCCCAGCGTGAGGGGACAAAGAGGGGAGAATTTGGCGGGGAAATTCGATTGGCTTTTTGCACTCACTGTTCCCAGAGTCACACAGTCGAGTGGTTAACTCTGGAACAGGATTCGGATGTCATTGTGTGCAGTATTTCAGGAAAAATATTAATGTGAATTTGACAAAATTAAGGTTTCTCAGAAATGTCTGTCGTAGGAATATTTACTGTCACTAGATCTAGAAGGGAACACCTCTCATTTGTAGGCATTTGTCCTGTATTGTGTTCCTAAAAATCACAAAACATGCAGTTAATGAAATGCAATTGTGCACTGAAGATTTTCAATATTGTACATGTGAAAAGTGTGAAAGAATGATTATTTGTAGTTTTTATTTTAAAAATTCCAAATTATTTGTATTTTTTACAAAAACAAATCCAATACTCACATGTATATTATTCAGAATTTAAAAACCTCTGAAGGAAAATTGTTCCCATTGGCAGAAATTGCATCTTGTAAGGGAGAAATACAGCTGAAAAGGGTGTACCGTACATGTAGGTACAGTACATATATGTTTAGATTATGATAATTATGAGGTAAAAACATTGTTAGTTTGAAAGCAGATGCAGTCGACAGGAACACTCTCTTGGACTTCAGCACTCTCAATAATTATGTTGATAAGGTATCCCAATTGCCACTTGTTTGTCCTCTGCTCGATATGTTTGTTGGAAGCCACGTGCCATCCAGTTAGATGATTAACTTTCTCGTTTGCTCAGGCAGTATGGCAGAATCAGAAGAAATGAGATAAGGGTCACTGGGTGGAGCGCAAATAGGTAGGTGTAGACCC